ATCTCCTAATTCTCGAAAACCATAAGCAAAACTATGCAAAATGAATAATATATATATATTGCCCACACTACATAAAAAATGGGTTCAATTGCAACCACGATATGTTTTGTGGGGTGAATCACGGAATGCTGAAATGAGAAAACATTGAAATTTAAAAGAAATTTAGACAGAAAATAATAAATTTTTCTATTTAACCCATGCTATGTTATATTTTTTCAGCCTATGCAGTTCATAAAAATTGTACATGTTTGCTTTTTAGGGGACTTTTGTTCATAATTATAAACATTTTTGGTACTATGAGTAAAATCTGGGTCCTGAAGCAAAACCAGTTGAAAACCTCTGCTTTAAAAGATAATATATTTCATTATAAAGATCCCCATAGCTTGGTTCTCAGTCATAAAACAAAAGTCAGCACAATAACACACCCTAAGAGAAACATAGGTCTGCTGGACTCCTTGTGCATTCAGTCAGCTTCTGAAAAGCTTCAGCAGAAAGACGCTGTTAAAGAGCATGTAATACTTTCTTGATTTAAATGCAGTTTTTAATTGGATAGAGCCCCATTATTTTTCAATACAGAAAGGGCAGTGAGGCACGCAAAGCTCTTGAATATTTCTGCAAATCGTGTTCGACAGCATAATGATTAAGCATGGCACTAAATTTGCCTCACAAAATGAAAAGCAAACTTCATGCAAGGCGTAATTTAATTGTTCCCCTTCACATTTTCCGCCTCCCATTGTTGGAAGCTTTACATTCACTGAGTCTCTGCACTGGTGCTTGACATGCCACTTTGTGACACATTCAAATCCTGTGACATTCGCGACACTTTACAGCACAAACATGCTTCAATCTACCAAGGCACAGATATACATGCTGTGTTGTTGTGATTTACTCTATAAACCCAGCAATGAAGATCCAATGAAAATACAATTATTGCTAGAAAAGTATTCAGCAATGTTGTCCTCTGCAAATAAAGACCTACTCATAGAAGCTTCTTTTTCAATAGTTCATGTATTAACAACACGGGAAAATGGGTTGTATCTAAAACAGCAATTGTACCATTAAAAATCAGATATTACATTTTTTATAATTTGAGTCTTTAGTGTAATTTGGGATGGTTATGATTGAGCCTTTCTCTCTCAATCCTCTGTAATACAGATAAATATTGCCATCTGCTGGCACTCATGCATGCATTCCCACTGGTAAGGAGTATTCTGAGTTAAATACAATTAAAGTCAACATAAAAAAATCCACTCTGTTTCATTTCTTAATGCATATTCCTGGTATTATTGTGAATGAATCATAAAAATGCCTTCATAATGTTTTATCAAAATAATAACTTGCGCCACTTTCCTTTTCAGCTTTTTTAGGTTCTTATTATTCAACCAACCAACTGCTATATAATACCAATTTCTTACAATTCATGATACATAAAATCAAGCTCTGCCATAATTGTTTTATCAAAATAATAACTTGCGCCACTTTCCTTTTCAGCTTTTTTAGGTTCTTATTATTCAACCAACCAACTGCTATTCTGCTATATAATACCAATTTCTTACAATTCATGATACATAAAATCAAGCTCTGCCATAATTTTTTTTTTTTCACAAAACAGATTATGAAAGTAAAATGGCTTTAAAGTCGCGTTCCATGTTGGACAGACACAGAAATTACTGTTTAACTGTCCCTCAGTTTGTAAAAACAAAGGGAAATATGTACAATAATACACAGAGTACTGGAGAGTTTAAAAGCAGAAATTAATATATACCGTATGTATATTTTTTTGTTTGTTTATCCATATTTCTATTATTCCATAAAAGTGCTATTTGATTAGTAAAGTTCAGGTTTAAAGTTCAGATTTACAGTATCTACTGAGATTTACTGAATTTACTGCATACTACTTTTAATTACTACCACTAGTAATACTACTACATTTATTCATAGTGATTAATTTCAATCACTATATGTTACTATTTCCAGCAATATAAATATATGAAATTAGTAAGAGTAGTATGACACTGCCAAAAAAAAACAAAAAAAAAAAGTTGTGGTTGCCAGATCTTTAACGTAAAAAACACAGTAATAAAATGTTAGGCTTTTCCACAAGTCTGCAGTAAATATATATATATAAAACTGAAATCCGTTACATTAAATAAAATAAACCTTACTTGAAATAAAAAAAAAAACGTAACTTTTAATTTCTAATTTTTATTTAACTTGATGTACTAAAACAACTGATAAAAAAAAGAGATAAAATATTTAGTGTCAAACAGGTATTTTTTCTGTGAATCGCAGTCTTACACTTTTTCATATAAGATGACAAATTACTGTATTTTACAGTAAAATTACATTAAATGTCCTGTTAGATTTTTTAGCTTTTCACTTTATATAGCAAGTGAACTTAAGAGGTTTTTACTGCAGCATTTTTACAAACTTTTACCATTAAAATGACGATCATTTTTTACAGAGCATGCTATGGTCATAATATGAAATATACTTTCTAAACGGCAGAGGCGTCTGGCAGCTGATGATCATGTTATACGAATGCAACCGCTTCGATAAACAAACAACACTTTCTGAACTCTTCCAGACTTGATGAGCGAAAGTAAATTCTTATCCCTGTCTGCAGAGGCGCAGTGTAGATGCCCTGGCTTTCTTAATATTTCATACTCTGATTACACTTCAAATCACCCTGTAAATCCTCTTAAGGCATGCAGAATTGTTCAGCATGTGTATGTGTGTGAGGGAGAAAATGAGTGAGAGAAAAAATAAAGATAAAGAGAGAGGTTAGGTACTTATAAACCCTAAAGGCTTGCTTATCTTTCCAGCACATGCATCTTTGTGTCTCTCGTGCATGTCAGTTTTCTATTTTTTAACGCAGCAAAGACAAAGTAAGCTGCACAAGATGCTGTGACAGTGAAAAGACTTTCCCTGAACCGGCTGATGCAATTCACAGCTCTGAGGATATTCCTGTGCTACAACAAAAAGACCCAATGGAAGCCAACAACAACAAAATAAATCATCATAGTTATCATTTATACACTCCGTCAAATCACAGCAAGTAAAAACAATACTGCCAATGCAAATTAACCAATAAGCACAACAACAGCACAACTTTTTGGTGCAACTAACTAAAAGACACATGACATGAGAGCTTGAGGAATTCAGTACATGAAGAATTTCCCCTGATTGAGCACAAGAAAGCTGATTGAGCACAAGAAAGCTGTTCCTGCACTGTAAAAAAAAATCCGTAAAATTTACGGTAAAAAAAACGGCAGCTGTGGTTGCCGGAATTTTACTGTAAAAAATACGGTAGCAACGTTTTAGGTTTTAACTTAAATTTACAGCTAAATACCATAATTTCCTTAACTGATAAAATGTTATTATATACCAACCTATTGAAGTACTGAAATCTGTTTTGTACCTTTGTAATAATACACTGATAACCACCAAATGCAGGAGGTGATGAGACAGCGATGAACCAAAGCCCATCACAAGCAGCTTTTAAATAATAGCATATATAGACTAAACACCATCATGGTGACACACATGAAACTGAAATAATGCAATAAACATTCATTTAACAGCATTAGGTGTAACACACAACCCTAATATACAAAACTGATAAGAAAAAACTAAGCAACAGTTATTTCAACAAAAAAACATCACATTTGAAATGTAACGCAGGGAATTCTGGGAATGTCAATTTACGGTTATTCACTGTAAATTATACAGTCTTTTTCACTTCCAAAAACGGTATACTACCGTAAAATTTATGTCCAGTACATGTAATGTCCAATACAGCTTTTCACCGTATATAGTAGGGGAATTTACCGTTAACCATTTAACAGGTTTTTACTGTAGCATTTTTACAGTCTTTTACCGTTAAATTCACGGTCATTTTTTACAGTGTATACTGAAGCACTTGTTCTGGTCATCTGAACAAGTCACAATGTTTGAACGGTCTCTATTCAGTATGCCACAAGTGTAGCACACCATCCCATTGGAGTATGGTGGCAATGCTAAACAGATTATGATATGAAAGAATGAATAAGAGTAGTAGTTAATGCAGTGCAAAGACTAATCAAAACAGAACTAATTTAAGACTTTACCCAGATAAAATATGAAATTGCTATTAAATGTTATACACTACAGAAATAAAATATAGAATACTACACCTTTGTAAAATCTCTGTTCTCATATGTTTATGTACCTGGTGCCTCTTCAGTGTTGCAGAGGTCAGTGTCACAGCATTGGGGATTAAAGATTTTTTGTTTTGTCCAAAATGTATGCTGTCAGTTACACATGTGGCAGGATCTGTGCAGTTCTTCTATTGCCATCTACAAAGACAACTAAGAAACTACATGAAGATTAAAAAAAAACTTTAACTTCTTTTTCATAATCATGAAATGCTTACTGTTGAATATGGTGACATATATACACTGAAGAGGACATTTTGTTAGATTTTTTTTTGCATTGTTCAGAAGAATTATATTTGTATTTGCACTGGTAACATCTCAGTGCAAGCACTGAAAGATAAAGGCGATGTTATATAAAATATATAAAATGCATTCATTTAATGTATCAGTTTTTAAATGTAATTACAATCAAATAAAATAACAAAATAACATACTATTAAAGTTCATAAGTTTTGTTAATAAATTATATATATATATATATATATGTATTTTGGTGCAGATATTGTTATATATGGCCAAAAAGTAAGATGAAATATTGATAGCTTGTAATGTGAATCAACGGGATCTTTATAACAGTACAGCAGACTATACTGACATAAAATGCATATAAATATCACTCTATATCTGATAATATGTCTTAGTAAGCTGATGTTTAATGCTTAGTTTTATGATTAAAGCTCTGTAGTTTATTTTTGGGAGGCAAAACATATAATGTAATGTAATGCAATACAATGGTGATTGATAAAACAAATGATGTATGGATAATTAAGTAATTTGTAACAACGTGAATGTCGATGTTCCATTGCTTTACTTTGCTACATAATACCATGTGTCCACAGGCCGCAGTCGCAGGAGGCACGACCATGATCCTGGACTTTGTCATCCCACAGAAGGGGTGTTCACTCTTAGAAGCCTATGAGCGGTGGAGAACAACGGCTGACCCCAAAGTCTGCTGCGATTACTCCCTTCATATGGCAGTAACCTGGTGGGATGACACTGTATGGCTGCTACCATATATTTAGAAATAAATAAAATATATTTTAATGATGAAAGTTGCACTAAAGGTCATTTTTTTAAAACATGAACTTACAAACTGTTTCATTCTACTTACGTGTGGTCCTCCCTCATGGTGGGATCACATGGGATTTTCATCTGACTATAAATGTAATGATATATCATTAACACTGACATCTGGGACTTTCTCTAGGTCAAGAAGGAAATGGAGACTCTTGTTCATGAAAAAGGTGTCAACTCTTTTAAGATGTTCATGGCATACAAAGACGTCTTCATGCTGCGTGACCATGAGCTCTATGCCGTATTTGCCCAGTGTAAAGAGACTGGAGCAATAGCTCAAGTCCATGCAGAGAATGGAGACCTTATTGCAGAGGTGAGAAGTATTCTGAGTTTATATTTATGACTTAAAATTACAATTCTGCTTCCTGTTTGCAACCATTCAAATTCAAGAATCTACCATGGAACTATGTTCTAAATGACACACAACCTTAAAAGGTACCCTAAAACACTAAACTTGATGCCAGATATGATGGGAGAATGGTTCATGGAAGGAGAAAAGCTATTTTTCTAAGCAGATTCCTATACTGTAAAAAAGGACCGTGAAGTTAACGGTAAAAGACTGTAAAAATGCTTCAGTAAAAACCTGTTAAATGGTTAACGGTAAATTCCCCTACTATATAAGGTGAAAACTGTATTGTAAATTACATGTAATTTTACAAAAGTATACCATTTTTGGAAGTGGAAAAGACATAATTGTAAATTGACATTCCCAGAATTCCCTTTTTGTTGAAATAATTATGTTTCTTCTTAGTTTTTTCTTATCAGTTTTGTATTTTAGGGTTGTATGTTACACCTAATGTTGTTAAATTATTGTTTATCGCATTATTTCAGTTTCATGTGTGTTACCATGATGGTGTTAAGTGTTTGTGTGAATGACACTGTGCACCTTCTATATATGTTATTATTTAAAAGCTGCTTGTGATGGGCTTTGGTTCATCATGTGACTTTCTCATCACCACCTCCTTTTTGTGGTTATCAGTGTATTACAAAGGTACAAAACAGATTTCAGTACTTCAATAGGTTGGTATATTAACATTATTTCAGTTAAAAAATTATGAAATTACGGTATTTAACTGTACATTTAAGTTAAAACCGTAAAACCTGAAATGTTGCTACCGTATTTTTTATGGTAAAAATTCTGGCAACCACAGCTGCCGGTTTTTTACCGTAAATTATACGGAATTTCTTTTACAGTGTAAGAGTGGCCCTTAGTTACAGTATCATCTTTACTATTCGTTCTTAAAAATAAAGGTTCTAAAAGGGTTTTCACAGTGATGCCATAGAACCACCGTTTTCCCCAAAGAAGATTTCAGTGAAAAGTTCTTAACACAGCAATGCCATAGAACCACCATTTTCCCCAAAGAACATTTCAGTGAAAAGTTCTTAGAAGAACCTTTTTTCTTACAGTGAAGAACATTTAAAAAAATCTAAAGAGCCTTTTTACACTATAAAGAAAGTTTTTGGGATGGAAAGGTTCCATGGATGTTAAATGTTCTTCATGTAACCATAGATACCAATAAAAACATTATTTTCAAGAGTGTTGATTCTGTTTCTAATACAGAGGTTAGAAACTCTGTGCGTCAGCGTGGGTCTGTAAAGGGATTTTTCCCCAAAGCTCTCTGTTCTTTCACCCCTGAGTTAAACTTCACCATGATTTAAGAAGAGTAAACCAGTGTGCAGGTGTTTCTTGTAAATCATTCTTTAAATGCAAGGCTGATCAAGCCGTAAACAAACAGGTCATGGTACACAAGAACTGGCCTGTGCTTTTAAACTGTCCATGTGAAGTAACATTTTTTACAAATTATATCTGGTCAAAATGTCAAGGGCATATTCTGCAAAGAACTGTTATAAATGTAATGTTTAATGTGATTTTGTTATAAACCTAATAACCAGCTATTTTTTTATCACATAAATACTGACCACATTTATTTTTAGACAGTCTATTGCCCAATATGTGGCAAACAGCAGTAGAAAGAACCAGATGTGTCATGTTAGTCTTAGAGTGGTCAGAGTTCAATGGAACAGTTTATGATATGCCACTAAAAGTACATATTTAGGCAGTTTATATTGTATGTTAACATTTACTGAAATACATGTTGAAATCCTGGTATTCTTAGAATGAAATCACATGACAATTACAAACATGTGAAATATGACTCCACTGGAGGGCAGCACATGCATAAATGAGTTAATGAAGCTGTATTTAAGGCTGGCTATGTTTTTCACTAGTTTCAGAAAGACTATGGCATAAATCATGTACAGGGAGAGGAGGTGTAACAAATCGGTCAGTTAGCGCCTCAGGTAGGATAGAACGCGTCAAGACCATACTTAACAAAGATTAAAACTCATATGTGACCCTGGACCACAAAACCAGTCTTAAGTCGCTGGGGTATATTTGTAGCAATATCCAAAAAAACATTGTATGGGTCAAAATGATTGATTTTTGAATGAAATCACATGACAATTACAAACATGTGAAATATGACTCCACTGGAGGGCAGCACATGCATAAATGAGTTAATGAAGCTGTATTTAAGGCTGGCTATGTTTTTCACTAGTTTCAGAAAGACTATGGCATAAATCATGTACAGGGAGAGGAGGTGTAACAAATCGGTCAGTTAGAGCCTCAGGTAGGATAGAACGCGTCAAGACCATACTTAACAAAGATTAAAACTCATATGTGACCCTGGTCCACAAAACCAGTCTTAAGTCGCTGGGGTATATTTGTAGCAATATCCAAAAAAACATTGTATGGGTCAAAATGATTGATTTTTTTTCATGCCAAAAATCATCAGGATATTAAGTAAAGATCATGTTCCATGAAGATATTTTGTAAATTTCCTACTGTAAATATATTAAAACTGAATTTTTGATTAGTAATGTGCATTGCTAAGAACTTCATTTGGACGACTTTAAAGGTGATTTTCTCAATATTTAGATTTTTTTTGCACCCTCAAATTCCAGATTTTCAAATAGTTGTATCTCGACCAAATATTGTCCTATCATAACAAACCATACATCAATGGAAAGCTTATTTATTCGGCTTTCAGATGATGTATAACTCTCAATTTCGAGAAAATGTACCCTTATGACTGGTTTTGTGGTTCAGGGTCACATATTGACTCTAAAGAGATACTGCAGGTTCAGGTTTGTGACCAGTAGTTTCTCAAAAGAAACTAAATAATCCAAAACCCAAAAGTACAAAGGAATACTTGTTCCTCTCTCTTTCTTTTAAAGAAAATAAACCTTAAATTAAATTCTTAAAGACACAAACCATAGTCTCTCAGTAGCCACGCTCATACTTTCAGCATTATTTGACACGGAGTCTATCCATCCTCTTTCCCCTTCTGTAGAAACTAAAGTTATTTTTAAGACTCTTAGTAAACTGTAACTCCTGCCATCACTAATTATCCAAAAATGCTAATTAATTAACCTATTAAATTGGTATTTACATTCCAAACAGCATCAGAAGAGGGTGACAGAGAGAGAGAGAGAGAGAGAGAGAGAGAGAGAGAGAGAGAGAGAGAGAGGCCCAAAAAATGAAGCCAAAATCCTATTGACTTAGGGTAAAAACGGAAACATTTTCCCTTGGTGTTTTTCGTGTACAAACAACGACATTGTCAAAATGATCCCTGTTCACACAGATCGCGAAAACGACTTAAAATGCTGTATTTTGGACATCAGGCCAGTAGTTGGCGATATCACTTTGTAAAGAAACACTATGCGAACATGTAATAGACCTGGGCATGACATCACTATTTTCACAAATTTCAGTATTTTTAGTTTACAAGATCCACCAGAGTCAAAATTACATTTTTAATATATGTTCCTGGTCTTATTGTGAACTATTTATTGTTGCACGCTATATTCCAAATAAAAATACTGATTGCTTCCCCTTTAAAACAACTTACCTGAACTATTGTTCAAAAGTTTGAGGTCTGTAAGATTTTTTCAGTGTTTTTGAAATAAGTTTTTATGCTCATCAAGGCTACTTGATGAAAATACAGTAATATTTTTACTTTTTAAAAGAACTGTTTTCTATTTTAAAACATTTCAAAATGTAATTTATTCCTGTGATGGCAATGCTGAATATTCAGCATTCTTACTCTATTTTTATATGTCACATTGGTAAGATTGTTGATTTAAAATGGGGGGTAAATACTATTTATTATATTCAAGTTTGGATTTCTACATTTCTAAACCTGATTATCAAACACTCAGTATTAATCCTTTATCACACTGACTGTTTCTCGTCAGGTCGAGTGGTGTTTGGAGAGCCCATTGCGGCTGGACTGGGCACAGATGGCACTCACTATTGGCATAAGGATTGGGCTCATGCTGCTAGTTTTGTCATGGGCCCACCTTTGAGACCAGACCCCAGTACCCCTGGATATCTGATGGACCTGCTGGCCAAGTATGTGGGAACGTTCATGGTTTCATCATTTACTAACCTTTCCGTACAAACTCGCATGACTTTCTTTTCTTCTGTGTCCCAAGATGAAAAAATAAAAATTATTAAAAACTTCATGAATGATGAGATTAGAATGTGCATTATCTTACAGTGATGATCTAAGTGTAACAGGAACAGATAACTGCACATTCTCAGTGTGCCAGAAAGCCCTAGGGAAAGACGACTTCACCAAAATCCCAAACGGAGTCAATGGTGTTGAAGATAGGATGTCCGTAATATGGGAGAAGGGAGTGGTCAGTACTTCTGATAGAAATTATGAATTCATTCTCATTCATTCTCAGAATTATTTACTGAATTTACTCTATCCATCCATCCATCCATCTATCTATCTATCTCAATGTAATGCTGACCTTTAACTTTCTCATTCTTGGATGTGAGGTGCAGCGATCACAAAATAACTCACAATTTGTGGTTTTATTTTCCCCAGCACAGCGGAAAAATGGACGAAAACCGGTTTGTAGCTGTCACCAGTACTAACGCAGCAAAAATCTTCAACCTTTATCCTCGAAAAGGAAGAATTGCTAAAGGCTCTGATGCAGACCTGGTCATATGGCATTCTTGGATGTGAGGTGCAGCGATCACAAAATAACTCACAATTTTTTTTCCCCCAGCACAGCGGAAAAATGGACGAAAACCGGTTTGTAGCTGTCACCAGTACTAACGCAGCAAAAATCTTCAACCTTTATCCTCGAAAAGGAAGAATTGCTAAAGGCTCTGATGCAGACCTGGTCATATGGGACCCAAAGGCCACCAGGTAACTCACAGCAGCCTAGAAAACTACATGTGACCTAATTTACATGCTCTAATGAATAATGAGCAGACATTCCTAACAGCCAGACATTTAATATGATAAATTTTAATAGAGGGCTGCAGCTGTGACGACAAAACCCAGAAGACTAATTCACCATTTCTATTAAAAAATAAGGTCTGTGTCATGCTCTAATGAATAATGAGCAGACATTCCTAACAGCCAGACATTTAATATGATACATTTTAATAGAGGGCTGCAGCTGTGACGACAAAACCCAGAAGACTAATTCACCATTTCTATTAAAAAATAAGGTCTGTGGTAAACTTGGACGTTTTGTTGTACAATGTAAATTGCACACATATACATAGTTACTTATTACAAACATAGATTTTTAAAAATTGCTTCACAGTTTGCATTTTCAGTATGGGTGTATGTAATTTTCATTGTAGAGCAAAACATCCAAGTATTGTCAGTTTAGATTTACTGTAAGATTTACTGTAGATTTTACTTGTAAATTGAGAAACACATTATAAAAACCCATAGGAAAAACTTGAGGGCTCCTATGGCGATTTAGTCTTCCAGGTTTTGATGTCATAGCTGCAGAACTCTATTTACTAGTAAAAGAGTTCAGGAATACGTAAGGGTTTGGCATTTAAACAAACCACTAACCCTAAATATTGGGACATTGATATCTGAAACTCTACTGCTTTTTGAGGAAATGTGTACTTTTAATTTTCTTAGTCATCAGACTTTCAATTTTCACCTGGTGGATAATAAAACAGGAAAAATTGACCCATAAACTTTGATTGAAAGAAGCACTTGAGCCACAGAAAAAATATAATGGAGACTGGTTGTAGGCTGATTCAACGCAATGAAAGCAATGACCTAGCAACACCTTAGAAACCATCCAAACACCCACATAACAACTCCCTGGCAAGCACTTCAAATGCAAGCAGCACTCAGAAAATTTAAAAATCAAGTTAATTATTTGCATTTCTGTAACACATTTTTAAACACACCTTTAAATAATAAAAAAAAACATTCTGCATGATACTTAACATGAAATTGCCCAAATCAGTGCCTTAATGTTTCACAATAATGTGGCATAAAGTTTTGATTGTATAATTTCATGGGCTTCAGCTTTGACATATCTTCATTTCATGAGTGCTCGAGTTTATTTTTAATTGAATAAGTCAGCGATGTTGTTGAGCTTTGTACATCACTTTAATTGCTATGTTTTTGTTATTCAGCTGAAAGGAGCCAATCTACTTGACATATTTAAAAAATAAAATCTATATACCTCAGTTCTTGGAGGGTCTTTAGTCACATATTTGGACCTGACATAAATAGTAAACTAAATCTGTAAAGTTTGCTTTAAAACGCTTTGAAATGTATAAACGGCTGTAGGCTCAAATACCTGGGTTGAAGGTTATGCATGTTTTTGCATGAATGGGGTCATACAGGTTCTATATGTGCTGGAAGTACTGAGGTAGATGTTGCCATGACGAAGCATTAATACAGCGGATTGGCTGCAAAGACGTGACCATAAATGGAGAAACTGAAGCGTTCTTCCTGCTCAAAAGCGTCGTTTGTAAAGCGCACGCATGAGAGGAGAGGACGGAAACAGCAGAGAGCCGAGGGTCTTATGTAATTGGGCCTAGTTGCTTCTCCTTTTCCCCGTGAATCTAGGCTGGCTCCCTCTAGGCCAGGGGTGCCCAAACTCGGTCCTGGAGGGCCAGTGTCCTGAAGAGTTTAGCTCCAACCCCAATTAAACACACCTGAACCAACTAATCAAGCTCTTACTAGGCATTTGAAGCCAGGTGTGTTGAGGCAAGTTGGAGCTAAATTCTGCAGGAAACCGGCCCTCCAGGACCGAGTTTGGGCACCCCTGCTCTAGGCAAATAACCATGCGAGTTAAGCAGCGAGGAGCAATGTGCTGAAATGTAGCGCACAGCAGCGCTTTTCAAGCAGTACAACCTTTACCCTCGATTTTGGGACTGTAGCATTCATCATTTTGAAATGCTGGAATATTTATTGTCTTTCAAAGCATTATAATAGATGCAACAATAAATGGTAGCTCACAAGGTATGCCATTTTTATTCATAATAAATCAGTTAATGGAAACGTTGTACAGACAAGTTTTTTTTCACAGTGTGAAAATTAATATCCTTTGCACTGTATCAGTTGATGGAATCCACAACTTTAACTATCTTTCTAAATTAGCTTTTTAAGATGATAGCTGCAGTCATCTTAATGGGAAAATTCTTATTTTTGCTGGTTTGTCTCTGTGCTGGAGACAGATGGCCATGCAGAGCTCATTCTTTGAACTGTGCTGATACAGCAAAAGAATGGTTAAAAAAATAAGCTGAATATGGGAAACAGATTTGGTCTGAAAAACTTTAGTTTGCCATTTTACACACTTTAAATTGGCTCAAAGGTTCTTCTGCTGATTTATTAAAGTATTTGTTTTAATACATTAGGATATGCTGGGCAATAGCCTACAGTACTGCTATTAATTATATATGCACACACTGGTTTACATTATATATAAATGCCATTATAGATAAATGTAAGTCAGTAAGTCAACTTGCATATATTCATGTCTTTTGTTTTTATTTGTGTAATCTTATGTTGTTTTTAGGGTGATTTCAGCAAAGACGCACCACCAGGCTGTGGACTATAACATTTTTGAGGGAATGCTGTGTCATGGACTTCCAGTGGTCACGATCTCCAGGGGGAAGGTGGTTTATGAAAACGGGCAACTGTTCACAAACCCGGGCGCGGGACGATACATCCCACGGAAACCCTTCGCTGAATTTGTGTATAAGAGAATTAATCAGCGGGAAAAGGTCAGACAAGTTTGGGCTCTGCTGTAAGACTGCCCAACATACCCTAAAATTTGGAAGTGTGGTCATTCTTTGCAATATGAACTGTAATTAATGATTCTGTCTTTGTTTTTTAGGTTGGAAAGCCCAGTGCTGTGTGCAGAGAACCGTACACTGGAGAAATCATATCTGTAGCCCCAAAATAATCCTGAATCATGGTAGAAAAATGTTTTATAAGGATGTTTTATAAGATAGATTTGCAGTATACTATTAAAAACGAAGACCCCAGTTACAACCAAAAAAGGGCTTTACAGCCTAATGCCACAGAAGAAACTTTTCAAGCTTCACAAATAACTTTTTGGTGCTGCAAAGCACCCAGAAACCAATGCACTGCTCTGAAGAACCCATCAAACTGTTTTTATCCCCAATAAACTATATACTCAAGAACTCAAAAACTCTCTACAGTGGAAAAGATGGTGCTTCAAAGAACGACTGAAGGACCACTTAAGCATTAGTGATGAACAATGATCAGTTCTGAGATACTCCTGTAAATTGTGTTTTAAGTCACCCCCTAAAAATGTCATACAGTATTGTCAAATACACTTGTTGTTGTTGTTTTCTTTTAGCTACAAAATGTTTTAATACATTTTTTATATTCTATCATGATCAGACTCTGAGAAGAGATACTTTTTTTGAGAAAAGCTACTTTTATTCAGTTAAGATGCAATAAATTGACCAAAAGTGACACTAAAGACATTTATAATATTATAAAAGGTTTATATTTCAAGTGAATGCTATATACAATATATACATCAGATACAAATATATACAAGTAAATATGAACGGTTTACAACACTGATCATAAGAAATGTTTCTTTAAAATTCAGCTTTGCTATCAAAGGAATTAATTACATTAAAATAGAAAAAAGTTATTTTAAATTGTAATAATATTTCACAATAGTACTGTTTTTACTGTATTTGTGATCAAATAAATGGAGCCTTGGTGAGCATAAGATCTTTCAAAACCATTATAAACTCTTACCAACCCTAAACCTTTGAGCGGTTGTGTACATGTTTTGTATTCTATAGGATACAAGTTTAAAACGTATGCATATGCTCATTGCTCAATGACTTCCACCTCAATTGGAGTCTGTTAACCCCTGAAGAGTAAAATGAAAACTATGGCCCCGGTCACAAACAGAGAGTGATAACCACTAGGGCATCTTGGTCCATAAAGAACAAATTGATCACTAGGGCCCCATGGCCTATTTTCCACTTGCCCCTTATATGCTGATCACAAACAGGACACCTCCTTTCTACAGTGCAATGAAAAGGTACACTTTTTGATAAAAAAGGAGTGTGAATGTTGTGTTGTCAATGCACTCTATCAAACCTGCGATTATGGCTGGTGTGTTGCGAACTTCAAGTATATTTAAACAGCATCAAGGTTTGTCCTCTGCTTATGGAAGAGTAAGGGGCACCAAAAACCGGGCTGCAATAAAAACAAAAAATAAATTATTTTGTTTATACAATATACATTATAACAGTTAAGGCCAAAACATCCCCTGCAAGAACTTACTAAAGTTTGATTTCACACAAAGTACTTTTTTTTCAAATGTATCACAACACAATACATTTAAAAAAAAAAAAAAAAGTACTTTGTGTGGAATCAAACTTTAGTGAGTTCTTGCAGGGGATGTTTTGGCCTTAACTGTTGAATTAAATGCATTATTCTTACCTCACTGTTAATTTCAAATTAACAAATTGCATGAATAAAACTGAGTGAGGTTTATTCTTAAAGCAAGAAGAAATCCAACTATTTGAATACGGGGTAATAAATTTAAACTTAATTTATGATAATTTCTCCTAAAACAAGTCTTTATGTGTTGCACACTCAAGTAAATTTATTCTGTTTTAAGGATGTTTGAATATGTATATATATATATATATATATATATATATATACTAGAAAACCAACCTGTATGGTTAAGGTTGTCAGACCTCCTTCATGCTCTTCTGCTTTAGTTTTGCACCGCTTTCTTAAAATCTTTTCATGTAGATAGGCAGCTCTTTTCTCTGCAACATCTGAGAAAAACTGCTCCGATAGCAAAACCCTGAGCTGAACCATCTGTGATGACAGCAGAATTAAAACAAGCAGCAAGGCCAGGACCACAGTCAGAGGAACCAGAGACTGATAGAGCCACAGTTCCGGTTCAGGCAAACACTTCTTCTCAAACAGAGACACCGTGTAGGAAAAGTTTGCCTCTTTTACATTTTCATCAACAGGTAAACCCAGAAATAATGTGGCCTTCTTTAAAAACAAAAGAGAAATGGAAAGAAAATAATTACCTAGATGAAATTCAGACATCAATTATCCACCCTCATGCCAATATGGAATTGTATAATTTTTTTTCCTTCTGTGGAACACAAAAGATATTTTGCAGAACGTTGTGGTCCAAACAACATTGGGCCCCATTAACTTTCACTGTAAGAGTGAAAACTTTTCAAAGAAAGAAAGTCGTACATGTTTGGAATGACATGAAGGTGAGTAAATTAGGACAACATTTTCATTTTTGCATGAATTATCCCTTTAAACATGCAGAAATTAAGATGACAGCTGTGGCTATGTTCAAACTGGAGCAGAATACATTTATCTTTTCTTTAGTTCACACACAGTTCAGATTCAGTATGAATGAGAGTGAAACTGGATTCTATAACCAAAGTGACTGTATTAACCAAAACAAGTACAATATCTGTGGATACATTCATAAACAGCAAAATATGATTGTCATTATATGGATCGAGTTATAAATGGTTTGATTATAAAAGAGTGAAACAGGTTTCTTTAGGCCTTCCTACTGTACCTTGCTTTTATATATATATAAATACGAAAAATATATGTGTGGCTACGTTCACACAACAGAAAGATATGATGGTTATTGCTGGTTAAAGTGCTAAATAGTTTATGTTCGTTTTGACAGAAAGTGAAACCGGATTCTATAGCTAACTAAAGTGAACATTTACATTCACAGCAGCACAACTTAAATGGATAGTTCACCCAAAAATGAAAATGAGGTCATTAATTACTCACCCTCATGTCATTCTAAACCCGTAAGATCGTCGTTCCTCTTCGGAAGATCTGAGAGCTTTCTGACCCTCCATAGACAGCAAGGTAACTTCCACGTTCAAGGCCCAGAAAGGTAGTAAGAACATCATTAAAATGGTCCATGTGACGTCAGTGGTTCAACCGTAATTTTGCAAAACTACGAGAATACATTTTGAGCGCGAAGAAAACAAAAATAACTACTTTATTAAACAATTCTCCTCCCGGGAGTTACCATCTACCGCCATTATCGAGAGTAACACGACGCATGCGCTTGATGCTGCTGACGTAGAACACGCATGCGCTGTGCCTTTTTAAGGTTAAGGCTAGAAGGGATACAGCAAAAACTACTGGGTATGCGCACATCAATATAGCATAATTTTTCTCACACTGTACAACAAAAATGACTATTTTTGCATTATTTTAAGGGCTAGGTTTAGGGTTGGGGTAGGTGTAGACGTTCATAAAACACAATCTAATAGGTAGAAAATTCTATTTATTGTTAGCTTCCGGTTTTTGCTGTATCACTTCTAGCCACAACCCCTTTTTACGAGCAGAGGAAAGCACGTTCATGCGTTGTGGTACTCTCCATAATGGCTTATATAATTGTTGAATAAAGTCATTATTTTTGTTTTTTTGCACACAAAAAGTATTAACATAGCTTGTTAATATTACGGTTTAACCACTGATGTCACATGGACTATTTTAATGAAGCCCTTACTACCTTTCTGGGCCTTGACTGTGGTAGTTACCTTGCTGTCTATGGAGGAGAAAACGGCTCCAAAAAAACCCCTGAAAAACAAGAATTCAGCTTGATTATTTGTTTTTCATTCAGGGGTGGAAAAATGAACAAACAGCCTTAATTTTTCATTTCGACACATGGGTGGGAATGAAACGCCCCTTTCTGCTGATTGGTCAGCCGAACATTAAGCCGTCATCAGTTGTTCCTCCATTTCGCGCGGCAGAATCCGCTGCTGTAGTTGTACGGATTATTAACGCGTTTATTGCAACGACATTTAATCTTTTTCTCTTCAAACAACCAAACTAACGAACAGCTCGTCCCGGGGAAGAGCCTTTAGAGTGCTAAATACAGTTATTTTCATATTCAGTTTAGTTATAGAAAAATAAAAACATTAAAGGATAAACATATCAAATTCTCTGTAAAACAATACTGCAACTTCCTTGTTTACTTGAACTTTTATTCCCACAGGAACACGAAGTGGCTCCAGTTCCCCAAGCCGCCTGCTCAGAACTACAATAAGCCAGTAAACCAGGGCGTCTAGACTGATAAACACCAGCCAGGTGAGACAGTGAGTGAATATGGGAAGACTGAACTTCAGCATGGCTTTCCACCGCCGACCCGTCGGACGAATGGACGGAGTCACTATATAACGTTGCGATTCGCTTTTGGTGAGTGGAAGGATATACGGGTTTCCCTTTTCCCTTTGCCGCTCGTCAAAACAACGGAAAGTTTTGGTGATGTATATATTGTTGTACTTTTTGTCCACGTGGAATCTTCTCAGGTATAGAGCAGTGAGAAGTACAAGAAATAAAAGACCTAATGTTGGAGACAATAGATTTCCTATTGAAGACAAAGCGTTAGTCAGTGCTAACACATTTTGTGCGGTCTGGTTTAAAGCCTGTTCGGCCTCGGTGATGTGAATTTTGAAGTCCTCCGAGTCCACCTTTGCTTCTAGCGTAAAATCTGCATGGTAACTCACTATCTGAAAGTTTATAAAGTAATTTTTAAGTTGCTTTCCCACCCACTTTAGCATTTTAATATAATTCCCGAGGGGTTCTGTATTAATATCCAATAGCTTTTCCTCCAAGTTGCAGAGGAGGCCTTTTGCAAGCAGTCTCATGTTCCGTAACGTGTTCTGGATGTTAAAGAAAATCACCGAACTGGTTCCTAAAGTGAGAAGAAGTCTCTTCGCTTGTTTCATACCCATCGAGATCAAAACCACGGCTCCGAAACAGCGGATCCTTTCTGAGAAATACATCGCTGGTGTTAAGCTTATACAAAAAACACAAGTGAAGGGAAGCGAGACCTCCTGAACACATCTGAAGGAAAAGTGGAGGATGAGGAAGAAGAAGGTGCTCAGAATAAGGCTGGTACTAAAACAGGTCAACAGGAGGAGAAGTTTTTCCTTCCAGCTTTTTGTGGTGTTGGTCGTGTAGAGACCACATATTCTGGACCAGACCCGTCGTAGTCCTCCTGCCAGTTGATGCAGTTTAGCTCGAATCATCATCATCATCTCAATAACCTTAAAGAA